AAAAAAAAAAAAAAACTTCCCACCACACCAAACCATTCGAGACATGCGATTTGAAGACACATAAAAAAAAATAAAAAAATTTGAGAGAGACACACAAAAAAAAGGTTCTTCCAATATGAAACGTTCGTACAACTGTATGAACCACGCAACCGTCCACATGATGAAAACAAGAAAGGAAGTCACAAATGACAACCATGCCGCCATACAATCGACCCAGCAACTTCGCGCACGACGCCAATGGACACGGACCACATGTCAATTCCACCCGCTTGCCGATCACACCAACCCACGGGGCGAAGACTATACAACATCGTCAACGATACGAGAGAGTACTTCGTTGCCATCGCCAACAGACTTCCACCGCCTGCCATCCCTCAGAGCGTCGTACTGCCCAAATCCAGCACGGACGTAGGCAGGATCGTCGACCAATCACAGCTGCAGCAAGCTATCTCCCGTGCGGCGGCAGTGGAGAACGTTGCTCTGCGCATCTTGCATGGTTGGGTATTCAAGTCCGGGAACCGCCCAAGGGGATACCATGTGGCTTTTCAGTACTCACTGGAATCCTTTGCCACGGACATTGCGCGTGCTATGTGGTAAAGTGAGGAGTGGTGCGACGTCCGAGTCGTCAGTCCGGCGGTTTGCGTGCACACGATAGATCTGTCAATGGACCTGCCACTGTGGTTTGCCGGCGCCAACATCGAGGACAGACCGGACAATGACGACATGGTGGCGCACCAGGAATCCACCATCATCTGCGTCACGCATGCATTCCGCGCGGCGGTGCAAATGGGGGCGCTCATCGACGGCGAGTTCATCTCGCACGATCGTTTTTGTCAGGTGGCTGACTGCTTCAGGCTGTTGTTGGCGGCGTTCATGTGGATAATGCGCATGGCGGGAGACGATCCGCGCAGCCACTACGAGGCTTTCTACTTCGCGAACCTCGTGGCGAAGCCCACACTCGTCACGGCCATGCATCGCTCCTTCGATCATCGACGATCCGTCGTCCGCTCCGCGAAAGTCGTCACAGAGAGGCTCGGGAAGGCGAACGCTACATTCGGACAGTACCCCGACTACATCCCTCAATGGGCACCCTGCGACATTGGTTTCAGGCACGACGCGAGCATAACGGGGCCGGAGGATGCGAAGAAGCTAGATTGGTTGGGTTCGGGCCCCCCCGATGATGACAACAACAACGAGGGAAAGATGACGTGTAGGG